ACTTGACTCCGGGTCTCAAAGCTTATACTCAAATGAGAGTCAGTCTACGTGTTTGAGAGCAAAGGAAATGATAGGAAAAGTATAAAATGTTTTAGTTTTAGTTCCGAGTGTTTTAGTTTAAAGTCGATTAATAAGTAGTTTTTTCATTCAATTTATTTTATTATAGAATGAGAGGAGTTGTTGTGTTTAATATGTATTTCATATAATAAACTGCATATAAAATATAACACAATTTGTTTTCTGACCTCAATTGTCAACTCGCAAACTGGATATCACTTTCACTTCTCCGGCAGTCGGTCTCGTAATCTCTCTCTCTCTCTCACTCCCTCTCTCTCTCTGTCTCTCTCTCTCCCTACCTCTCCTATTTGGGATGCCTTTTGGGCATTGCTTTAAGCAAATGTTGTTTTCATTTATTTATTAAAAAATTTCAAATTTTCTTATCTGAAGGAAAGCGCAAACTGTTATGAATTTAATTTCGAGGTTAACACAAGTGATGTGCACTTGTTTTGAATGCAAATACAATTAAATACAAAAACCTATGCGGAAGTGGACTTAACATAAATACAAACTTCATAATGAAAGTGAAAATATTTCACAATTTTCTCATACATTTGTCTCTCCTTTTGAATGTATTTCAAAAGGACGCAAAGATAATGAGCCAATTAACACAATATTATAATCATTTTACACCACTTTTCCATAGAGGGGACTGAGAGTGAGCCAGTCAAAAAATAAAACATAATTGAGTTTTGCAATCAACGTTTGTAACAAATGGTTTATTTTGAAATCCTGTTGACAATGAATAATATGTGAAGACAACTACATTTGACATTTCAATACAGAAATACATAAATCCATGAACTGATTGATTAATAAAACCTTTTGGCACTTAAATATGGTTTTAATAGATTGCTTCCTATTTGTTAAAATACTTCCGTTTAGATTGTTTTTTCAGTTTTATTATTTTCAATATCTTATTTAAATATGAAAAGATTTTAGAAAATTAATAGTGGGCTTGGATTATAGGAAAGGATTAACAAATTAGTAAAAACATAAATATTCATATAAAACTCAACAACAAATGTATACAATATGCAACATATTATAATACATACAAGTATTGCATAATTTAAATAAAAGGGACAGACAGGGGATGAACTGGTAGTGGGGGTCAGTATAGGACTCAATAGCTATGAATACATGAATGAGATTTGGGATTTTAACCAAAATATATTATAAAAATACATACAATGAGCCCATTATTCGTCTTTGAATTTCCAAAAATACAATTAAAATGCAATTTAATAATACAATAAAAAGTAAAAATTCAATTAAATTACATTTTCTACAAATAATTTCCTCAAATATTCTCAATTGCTTTGAGATTCACGTCAAAAATAAAGTTAAGAAAACTTTGATTTAAAAATAATAATAAAAACTTCAATAAAGCAATTATATATAATTGTGAGAAATACGTAAAACTATTTGTACACTATTTGAGACTTGTATTACAAATTGTTAACTAAGACTAGTTTTTACGTTGAATGTTACGCACAAATACTTAATAAACGTTATAATTATTTATAATTACATTGATATACACTTACCATTCATCGTACGACTATTTCTACCAATTTTTTAAATGTATAATTTTATATTATAACTACTATTCAAAAACCATTTAAATACACACAAATCAATGATGTTTTTTGTGGAAAAACTTTTTTAATACGAAAAACCTTTAGTGCAAAACAAATGGCATTTAATAGTTTAAACACAAATATATAAAACAATTTAAATGGAAAAATATAAATAAATATTTTGCAGACTATTTATCACTGCATTTATTCAGTCGATTGGAAAATAAATTATTGACAAAAATATTCCACTAATTGTAACTCAAATTCAAACAATTTTTTATGATTTAAAAATGATTCAAAACTGAGATATTGTTTCGATTTAAAGGGATTTATATATTAAAAAATAAAAAATATTTCTAAAATTAAATCAATTATCACTTTATCTTAAAAGATCTTAATCTCAGCGCAAAATAGCATTGAAAATACGAAATATAATTGTTTATTAAAAGTTTAAAAAACTATTTTTAAATCACATTAAAAGCGCAGAGTTTGATGAAGTGATCGTAAAGTAAAGTGAGAGTAAAAGTGGTGTACATTTGGAGGACATTTGAAGGTATTTCAGACACAAAAAGAGGCATTTGTTTGCCTCAGGAGTCATATCCACTGCATCTGAAGTTCAAGACTTCATTTCAGCGGTTCTTGTAATACAACCAAATCAATGACTTTTACTCTCACTCTCTCTCTCTCTTTCTCTCTCTCTCTTTCTCTTTCTCTCTCTCTCTCTCTCTCTCTAATAAATTGGTTTTTCCGACAGAAAAAATTAATGATAAATGAATTCATCGCTAAACTACACATAAGTTTGCACTAAATGTAGAGTTAAATGACTTTATGATCAGTCAATGCATTCAAAAAGTTTTCTTAGGAAAAATCATAGCGTTTATTAAATTAGGAAAATTCATTGCATCCAAAAAAGTAAATTTATGCAAATTGTATACACGTTTAAAATGTGGTAATCATTATAATTTATTAAATTATCATATATTTACCTTTTTATCGAAAATTTCAATACCAATACCACTAGATATCGATATATTTGATGGCAATTAACCAGATAATGTGCACATATATTAATAATATAATGTATATAATTGTGGTTTAAATGACAAATACTATTAAAATTGTATGAATTGTATAACAGATATGAATCGTCGCCTCAAATATGGTTTTCAAAGTAACGAAGACTTGGTTTCAATGAAAATATACTTTTATTAATAATTAAATACTAAATGAATCAATACTTGTAATTGAAATAAATATTGCAATATTAATAATACTGTAATTAATATATTAATCTTGAAAAATATCACAATTTAATTAATAATTAATTAGACAATAATTTGGGATCACTTTTACAGACTTAACACAACATGTAAAACACAAATCTATGAACAATATGGTCTTGATAATAAAGTAACAAGTTCACATTGATTTCACACCATTATAACCATATCATATGAAAATGCATTTGATATTGACTTTCAAAAATGCACTCAATTTTCAATTTACAAAATAGTGTTTATTATTATTATTATTATGAATACTCGTTATACTGATTAGTACTGGGATTGCATTGAAAATGTAAATTCAAATGAATTGATTAAATAATAAAGTTTCCAAAATTCACATTCATTTGAATGACGAGTGCTTTTCAGTAATGAATTGAATTATTTGAGTGATCATTGAATTGCAAAACAGAGTAAAACTGTTGGGACTCACAGTCTGTGCCACCGGACGAGTGGATCACACGTTGAGTTTGGCGTCAATTCACTCATTCATTGCATTCATTCACATCACATGTATTGCTAATGTGTTGTAATTAATAACGCGATTATAATAGCAATCAGTCGTCGATTGCATTCACTTTAGGATAGACTCTGTCGTAGAGGTAATCGCGAAGTGGAGTCCTATTGACTGCAAAGCAGTCGTCAACGCGTCATATGATCTCATGTTTACCACAACACAGGCTTACAATCAGATGTTTGCCACACAATCGTCGTTCACTTCCCAACACTTCATCCCTTAGACATTGTCTACAAACTCTTCCATACATTTGTATGCATTGTATTCCCTATTGATTCACTTGTTTTCCTCGTTCATCAAAATAATGTGATTTTTATTCACAACAAACGTACCAACTTTTGGGAGTGTGTGTCATAGGGTAATGATTTTCATGGGGTTTACGCATACAAAATAATTAAATTCGATTGCAGGGCACATATCACTGCAAATATGTCACATTGTTTCTAAACTTACCTTTTAGTCTCAAAATTGCTTCAAACCCTTTGGTACTATAAATTACGCAAAAGTTAACTCAAATTAAGTTAAACTATTTTACTAACAATTTATATAATTGAATACAGAAAACTGTTCAGGGTAGAAATGGTTATGTATTGAATGTCTCTCTATTGACAGACTAACTGAATGAGCGGTCATTTGAAATGATTGCTCATAAAAGTGACAAAAACTATGATTTAGTGGACGTATTGAGTGAATGAGAAGTCGTCTGTAAAACGCGTTTTGAATGAATTGTAAATACAATTGATTTGTATTTTGCCGTCAATTCATACAAACCATGGATTCAAACGATGACATTGTGTTCAAAGTGCCGCTCAAGACATCCCTTCAGCCATCAGATGAGACCAAAGAGAGCGCACAAGAGGTGACGACAGCCGCCAAACAAACAGAAGTGTTGGACACAAAGCCTGCGACGACTGCGGCGCCGAAGACTGTATTACCGGAACCCATGACTCGTGTGACACCACCTGAAGGCCAATACTTTGTGGATCAGCTCAAGAACGGTGTACTCGTGGAGCACAAGACTGTCGTGAAGTCGCGTATAGTGTTCGGGAGGGCCCCGGACTGTGATGTAGTGCTGGAACACCCGTCTGTCTCGCGATACCACTCCGTACTTCTGTGGTCACCGGCCAGTGATGACGACTACCTCAGCGGTCAGAATAAGGACTCGTTTTGGTATTTAGTGGACTGCGGATCAACTCATGGCACCACTTGTAACAAGTTGGCAGTGATGGCCGGAAAACTCATTAAATTGATTCCCAATAACAATGTCTTCAAATTCGGCGCATCCACTCGACTCTTCTCGTTGGGAACCACTGGTGATGACAGTGACGACGAAGAGGACACCACTGAGGAGGACGTGGATGAAGGCGTGGAGAAGTCCAAAGCAGAGCCAGTGGTGGACAGCGGGTGCACGTGGGGTATCAATGAGGATATGGACACCAAAGGCGAAGTGACGGGTGATAGTAGGGCTCTGCAGGCGGTCATCACTGCTATGAAGAGCACCGGCAGTGATGTGCAGACAGACAACGCGAACGTCTATTCGGCGAATCCAAATAAATGCATTCAACAGTGGTTTGAGAGGGAAGGCTATGACTTGGAGTATAAGTGCGATACCGTTCACAATAAGTTCAGGTGTACTCTGGAGCTGCCCATCGATGGCCAATGGATTCCAGTGGAGGGCTCTTTACTCCCGAAGGTATGCATTTATCTAATACTTTGAAATAATAGTGATTTTCTAACTATGATTTGTGTCTATGATTTGCACAGAAAAAGGAGGCCATAACCGACGCGTGTCTGAAGGGCTGTCAGCTGTTGGATAGGGCAGAGCTACTGTTCCCGTGGCAGCAACAGGAGGCCAAGGAGTTGAGGCGCAAACAGGAGGAGGACATGGACTTCGAAGTGGACGATATGATCGACGAAACGGTGAAAATATCGCACAAACGCGTCAAAAGGGACTCAGAGAGCGGTGACAGCGCCGCAAAAGTAGACAATTTTGAGACATTGAATAAGAAGTGGTTAGAAATGAACGAAGAGTTGTGTCAACTGAGGGTCAAAATGGCGAATATCGGCGCTCAGAGCGAACAGCGCCCGGATGTGAGCCAAGAATCGGGCGATTCGTTGGATGACTACATGGCAGTCGTTAACCGACAGAAGTATGGGTTGACTATAAGCGACAAAATAGAGAAATCAAAGATTAAAATGAAAATCAATTTATTAGTGAAAGAACAGCAAAAGTTAGAGAAATTGATTAAATTAGCCAAACCTTCGGTCGAGTTTAAGCCCATTCCCGCCGTTCCCGTCACTGATGTCACCAAAAGTGTTGAAACAGACACTCAAGTCGTTAAAAATGATGAAAAGTGTGAAACTGTTGTCAAACAAAGCGATGATTCCGTTGAAGTCAAACCTATGAGTGAAACTGAAAAGTGTGAGAAAGTTGTGGAAAAAGTGTCAAAAGATGAGGAAATTGCGAGAAAAACCGAAACAATAATCAATGAATTGAAAAGCGCTGCGAAACCTAAGGCTGAGTCGAAACAGAAACGAAAACTCAATTCTCAGAGTATTGTGGAAGCGATCGAAAAGGAGAAGCAGTTGGAGAAGACTAAACAAAAGGCCACTTTCGATGACGATTACGTCGATTGGTTACCGCCGACGGGACAGTCGGGTGATGGAAAGACATCACTCAATGATAAGTTTGGCTATTAATTGAACCCATTTATTGTAAATACCGTGTATTTATTTGACATTTGTATAAATCATTTGAATAATCAATTAATTGGGACTCATTTGTAATTTAATTCTTAAGCATATTTGTGCTTAAATTTAAATAAATATATTTTTACAGTACTACAATTCTGTTAATGTTTTAAATTTGTTGTAAATTAATCATAACTAAAATATATAATTCAATAGTTTAAGCATTCTACCAGAATGTATTAATTTTATACCATAATAAACAAATTCTTACCTACTTCATTTTACCGGTACATTGAATCTAAACTTTCACATTTAATTTATTACCTATATAAGTATTGTTTCTTTTTTGAAATACAGTACTTAAATACAGTACACTGCAGATAAACTTTTTGTCACACATTCTCCATAATCTACTTTATATTGATTTGTTTGAAAATAACTGTTGTATTCAATCAACAAATACCAGGTAACTGACTGTCATTATTGTAAATACAGTACAACTAAATATTTATAAATGCATACTAGAAATACTAAAACTATACTAAAACTGGCAAAATCTATTCAATCAAAAAATCAATACAATCTTAGCATAACTTTATGTCTAAAACAACTCAAACACACATTCATAACAACTTTCTCCACAGATTTGAGTTGATTCTCATTCTATAAGTGACACAATTTGCACTTTACTTCATATTCTGTAATATAATGTTTTAATTGTCATCTAATTTATAATCTTGGAATTTACCCATCATTTGTATAAGACTCACCTAGTATAAAATAGTTTGATAAACTATTTTTAGTGTAGGAACTAAACAAATTAATTGCCAGTAGATAAATAATGAATCCGAAAATAGGTGAGTGCGTTAACATTTACCTCAATTGTGAACAAATATTTAATACAATTTTATTTTAATTAAAAGTGGCATTTATTTTTGTGTTAATCACTGCTATANATCGTCGCCTCAAATATGGTTTTCAAAGTAACGAAGACTTGGTTTGAATGAAAATATACTTTTATTAATAATTAAATACTAAATGAATCAATACTTGTAATTGAAATAAATATTGCAATATTAATAATACTGTAATTAATATATTAATCTTGAAAAATATCACAATTTAATTAATAATTAATTAGACAATAATTTGGGTTCACTTTTACAGACTTAACACATGTAAAATACAAATCTATGAACAATATGGTCTTGATAATAAAGTAACAAGTTCACATTGGTTTCACACCATTATAACCATATGATATGAAAATGCATTTGATATTGACTTTGAAAAATGCACTCAATTTTCAATTTACAAAATAGTGTTTATTATTATTATTATGAATACTCGTTATACTGATTAGTACTGGGATTGCATTGAAAACGTAAATTCAAATGAATTGATTAAATAATTTCGTTTCCAAAATTCACATTCATTTGAATGACGAGTGCTTTTCGGTAATGAATTCAATTATTTGAATGTGAATTGAATTGCAAAACTGAGTAAAACTGTTGGGACTCACAGTCTGTGCCACCGGACGAGTGGATCACACGTTGAGTTTGGCGTCAATTCACTCATACATTGCATTCATTCACATCACATGTATTGCTAATGTGTTGTAATTAATAACGCGATTATAATAGCAATCAGTCGTCGATTGCATTCACTTTAGGATAGACTCTGTCGTAGAGGTAATCGCGAAGTGG